CAGATAGGATGCGATGGGCACTGTGCTCCACTATTGAACCCATTCTATGTGTTGCATGGCGCTAGAACATATTTGTGCTGCGCCGAGCTGAGTGCAGTTCAACTTGGGCGCAGTGCTCTGTGATGACACCTCAATAGATGCATCCAATAGCAGAGAACATGACAGACCACAAAGAAAAGGGAGGAGAAGTTGATTTTGGTGGATCCACGCCCTCTTCTTCTTTGCTGCAGCTCATCTCCTCCTCCTCATCACTGAGCGTTTCGCTGACATGTAGACATACATTGTGCATCCAAGTCCGCTGCTCAAAAAACTAGTTAATATCTGAAAATATTGCAACGCTGCAATTTCTCAATTTAGCAGCATATTTGCCAGCAGAGATGATGTAAATGAGCACAGCTGCAGCTCTGTTAATTTAAATGCACTTCAACTGGTAGGGACGTGCCTGTACTGCACATGGGTTGACCTAGCCCCAGCTCATATTCCATTAGCTTTCACAGTTGAAACTTGTCAATCATTTTAACCCTGGTCTGTCGTTTTATAACGCTCACCCAAATAATAAAGGTATTTCCTAAATGCCCATAGACTCTTCTGATATTGTGGAATCAAAAGCTAACCTGGTCCAGACCAGGAAAAATATCATTTTAATCAGTTTTTCAGGTCACACGGTTTCTTTTCAGTTAAGAAGAGATGGCAACAGGAAATGACATTATGTCTTTCACTTTTTTCTTTTGTGAATGTTGACCATGAATGTATTATTGAAATCTATACAATTTTTGAAAATAAGTGAAAGTACTATTGAAATTGTTTAAATAATACATTCTTGAAGTTTGCACAAAGCTTGTGGTGCAGTATGTTGCTGTGTATCCCCTGAATCTATCCCCAGATGAGCAAACACTGAGTTCAGCTATACAGACCGAACACTGCTTATCTGAAGGGTGCTAATTCTCCATAGTAATATAAACAAGATAAGGGAAACATACAGGCACTTATTAAGCAGATTCTCTCTCTCTCTCCTCCTCCTCCTCCTTTCAGCAGGTTTACTTCACTTAACAAACAACAGTACGGCCCTTGTTTCTTCACATGGCCTGGTTGGTTTTCTCTGAGAGCACCTGTTTCTTTCCTGTAGATGAAAGCAGTGGAGGACAGTCGTCGTCACTGTAACAACATGGCATCCTTCTTTTTCCAGACCGCACCCTGAACACAGCCCTACATGCCTGCCTTCAGTAGCAGTTATATCTTAATTAAATTTAATTTTGGTTGCTGTGAGAGAAGGGTTAACTGTAAACCATCCCTCTGTTGTTTGTGGTGTTCTACATGTGTCCGGTGGTAGTATTTTGTGTGAATTAGTTTTATATTCTAACTCTAGTAGCCATATGGCAGGAACGTAAGAAAAATCCCGATCATGCTATTTATGGTTCAGAATCAGAATCAGAATCAGCTTTATTGGCCAGGTGTGTTGGACGCACGAGGAATTTGACTCTTGTACATCGGCTCTCAATGTAAACAGTAAACCAGCATAAGGCTGTGTAATATAACAAAAATAAGCAGTATTTACAAGCAATAAACAGTGCAAACAACGCAGAATAAGCGGTATGAACAGACAGTAACAATGCAGACAAAAGAATGTTCTTTGAAATGAGATAAATAGGAATAAAACAGAGTAATAGAGACCTGTATGAGTCTGTATAATCTGTACAATATATACTGTATATACACAGGTATTGCACTGAGGTTTATTGTCCAATCGTATGGTCATTGGTTAAGTGTTCATCAGAGTGACAGCCTGGGGGAAGAAACTGTCCCTGTGCCTGGTTGTCTTGGTGCACAGTGACCTGTAACACCGTCCAGAGGGGAGGAGTTCAAACAGATTGTGTCCAGGGTGTGAGGGGTCAGCAGTGATCCTCTCCACCCTCCTTTTGACCCATGAGGTGGTCAGGTCCTCCATGGAGGGCAGGCTCACACCAGTGACCTTTTCTGCAGACTTGACTGTTCACTGAAGTCTGTACATCCTCTGCTGTGCCTTCTTGGTGATGGTCCTGATGTTGGACGCCCACTTCAGGTCCTGGGAGATAGTGGAGCCCAGGAACTTTACTGCTGATACAGTGCTGCCAAGTATGATGAGGGGGGTAAGGTGGGAGGGCTCTTCCTGAAGTCCACTGTCATCTCCACTGTTTTGAGCGTGTTCAGCTCCAGGCTGCTCCCTGTCTGTCAGAAAGCTAGTAATCCACTGACAGGTGGGGCAGGCACAGTGAGCTGGGTCAGTTTGGAGTGGAGGATGTCCGGGATGATGGTGTTGAATGCTGAGCTGAAGTCCACAAAGAGGGCCAGTGCGTACGTCCCTGGGGAGTTGAGGTGTTGCAGGATGTAATGCAGTGTTCACTGCATCGTCCATCGACAGGTCTGTAGTCGTTCAGTCCACTGATGGAGGTTTTCTTGAGGACTGGAATGATGGTGAAGTGTTTGAAGCAGGAGGGGACTTCACACAGCTCTAGTGACCTGTTGAAGATAAGTGTGAGGATGGGGGCCAGCTGATCAGGACACACTTTCAGGCAAGAGGGGGTCACACCATCTGGGCCTGGAGCCTTTCTGATCTTTTGTCTTTTAAAGAGGCCACGCACATCCTTTTCACAGATCGTTAGAGGTGGGGGGCTGGAGGGAAGGGTGGTGATTGTCGGGGGAGCAGCTGCTGGTTATAGTTCGATCACAATAATCATTGCTTGAAAGTTTTACTATTGTATTTTAAAGTGTGTGTGGATTACCTGTCCTCAGGAATGATATGGGGTAGTTTTCTCTCCATGTGGTCTCCTGTACACATCCAGTCTTCTTCTCTACCTTTTTGATTGCCTTTTATTCTCCTGATAAATTGTTTCCTTTCCTCATTGTTACACTTCCTGTCTTTACATCGGTTCAGCTGCACTCCTCCTTGTCTCTGTTTGTATTTGTCTCAAGTTTAACTCCATAGTTTGACCTCCAAGTCTTCTGTAAGATATCCCACTGACTGCTTAAGTATT